CACGAATAAGTGAATTAGGAAGGCGCGAGGCCAGACGTCCTTTTAGGACGGCCATTTACCTTCCCCCAATTTCCCATCGTCGCCGTGTCCCCGTCTCTATTACTGCTGGGAGGGAAAAAAAAAGGAGACGAAGACAGGCCGCGGAGTGGCCGTCCTTCTGCTCATAAAAACCTTTGTCAGGGCTGAGAAAAAGGATATCTCTTCTGTGTTTCCCTTTTTTCACCGGAGTTTGGTTCCTCGTTTAAATTGGAACGGCGGGATAATTACTCGGCCGAAAGACAGGTTAAGTTCCCTTTCCAACCGGCACGTTATCCAGCCCCAGTTGGAAATCACACGTTCCTTCTTCGAGTATATGCCTCGCATTCGGAAGCTTAATTTAATTTAACTCCGAGCAGAGAAAGATTGAACAATTTATATTCATGAGTGCTTTTCATTACGGATCGGAGTTCTTAAATTGCGTTGTGCGAAATAGGATCTTTTTATTTCGGCGATTTCACCCGGAAACACCCTGTATAACCGTATCTATAATAATGCCATACGGGGGTTGCTTTCGATATAAATAAAAAAAGAAACTTCGCGTTGCATAATTTTATCACAATCGGAAGGAAAGTTATTGAATTATGTGGCGAAGAAACGGGAATTTCGGTGCACTCTGAAGAAAGTGCACCGCATGGAAAATATTCAGCGGGGTCCAGCGACGAATATTTCTCGCATCGGACCATTTTTTCCCCATAGAACCCCCGGCTCCGCGACACTTTGCACGTTAGACGGGTCATCCTGGCCCCCGGAAAGCAACGGCTCGCCATAAAAGCCGACAGGCTCGCCGTAAACTCGTTCCGATCGTGTACCAGCGGCAAACAGTTTCGACACGGCTTATTAGGCTCGCCCTGAATAATTGAGCACCGTGTTAATTAACTCGACTTCTCACCCTTCGAATTAAACACCGGGGAGAACGTGCGACGTCGCTCGCGCCCCGTGAGAACCGACCGATTAAACTCGCGACCGAAACCACCGACGCCGCCGCCAACACCACCCCATACCCGCTTTCGCTTCTTTTCCTCGCCCCCGTCCCGCGCCATCGTCGCCCTACTGATTTCATTACGCCCTACCACTCGTGTTTCCCTGAATTTATTGGGGTGATAATTGTTTTGAGACCGGCCCCGCGATAAAAGTACCGGTCCGTCGAGTCTAGGGGTTGTTTTTCGGGGCGCGGGTCGGACGAGGAAGGAACGACTCACGACTGGCTTGTAGGATGCGTTGAAAGTGTTCGTATTTGCATAGAATGGCTTTTAATTAGCCCCGCAATTAGGGCAGTGGAGCCGATTAAATGCGAGGGAACCAAACGCTGTGCATTTGCTTTCTTTTCGGTCATGATTATCTTTGTATTTATCGCGAATGAGATTTATTACTCTTTTTTTATTCTTTCATTTTGTTTATTTTTGACTATTATTAATATAACGTTATATTAATATTATATTATAATATTATATTATTATTATATATTATTTTTATATTATATTACTATATTATATATAATATAACGTTTGTGATATATATTATATTAATATATTTAACATTTATAATTATAAACGTCTATTATATTATATTAATATATTTAATATGGCTAATTGTGAACATAGACTCTTAATATCTAATATAATTTTCTTACACCTTTGATATCTTTATCTCGAACGAACAAAAGAATGCTTTATCGGCCGTTCAACATTTTCTCTGTGGAAATTTCAATCTTTAAATTAATTGCACCAAGTGCCAATGAATATTAACGAAGTCACGCTTCTTCGTCGCATTTCGACCTTCCTTATCTTCGACCACCGACAAAAGGAGATTCTTTATTAACAGCAGCTATTTAAAACTTCGCCGCGAGAACACATAAATTTCAATTTTCAGATCGCCGTTGCTGCTAATGAATTTTAAAGAAGTCCGACTCCGTGTCACGCGCGGAATATAAATGTCGTTCAAAGGAATAGATTATCATTAATAACGAGCAAATGTACTCTGCCGGCACTCGATTAAAGATTAACTCATTTAGCGTTCTTATTTCGCTGGAAATCCGAAGGAACACTCGTGAAAGGCGCAGAAGAATTTCGCTTAATCCACTTCCCGTGCACCGGGTCTCGTGAATTTGTATCCGCGCAAACATCGTCAGCGATGATTAAGTAAAGAAAACTACTTAAAGAAAGTGGAGAAACTTCGTTAACCTTTTTCGTCTCGTTGCACCCCCACCCCCTCTACGGTTATATTCGCGATGAAACGCGTCAGATTCGCAGTCAGATCGTCGCGAATCTGTCCGCAAGTTTCGCCGAAGTATCGCCGGCTGTTTAAATCGAAAAGTTCAGCTCGTCAGCCAGGCGGAAACTTCCGACTATAAGTCGGAATAATTACCGTAACATAGACGATAATTGGCGAAAATCGTGGAAAGGTTATTCGTCGATAAGTGGCAGAAATCGTGAAATGTATATGAATACTTCTATATTCATATTTTATATTTTTATATTTTATCTTTATATTTTATTTCTATATTTTTTTAAAAATTGTCCATATTTTTACTGAATTAGGGAGCTCAATTCACTGCACGCAACGATTCGAAACGGCTATTTCCGGAAGCATTTCAATTCCCGGCTACAAGGCTCCGGCGCCGCTCTGTACAACGGAGGGTTGGAAAAAGCGTGTCGCGGGGGGCGTCGAAACGGGAAAGAAGTTCGAATCTTCCGCCGGGTGGTGAGAGTTTGACTTGCAGAGTGCTAATATTAAAGTTCCCCGTCGCGGAGGGTTGAAAGCGTAGCCGGCCATCGGTCCGCGGCCGCGCGGCCGGAGGGGGTGGGTCTGGGCTGGGCGTTTTCTTCGCGCATCGGACCCGATTAGATTAGAATTTGTTAGGGGTGTCGCCCGGTAACTTCGTCAGAGGAACGCTGTCAGTTTTGTTTCATCGCTCCCGGGCGCGAGAGCTTTTTGGGGAAAGTTTCGCGCACGGAATTCCGCTCCGAGACACGGCCGAAACTTTCCGGCTGAATACCGACTTATGAGGGACGACGGGGCCCATCGGGGGATGAGGGCTGAATTAGCCCCGGCACGTAATACGCGTCCGAAGATTTGACATTTTTTACCACCCTCTACAGCTCTCTTTCTCTCTCTCACTCTCTCCATCTCTAGCATTTTCCCTCGCTCTTTTTCTCTCTCTCTTTCCCCCTCTTTTTTCTTTCTTTCTTGCTCATTCCGCGACAAAAATCTTCCCTCCCCGGGGATCAGTTTTTGCTCGCGGAATTTTCACGGAAGTTATAATTTCCCGCCGTCTTAAAGTCCACCTCCCCGCAAGCTTTCGCTAAAATATGCGCGCCGAATTTCTTCCAGTTTTATTTGTACTTCGTTTGTTTCTTAGCTCCGTTGGTGGGGGTGGGGGAGAATGGTAATTCGACGGGATCGGGGAATTACGCGGGGATCTTTTTGTCAACGCGCTTCTGTTAGGTACAGTTTGTTCGCCTTGTTGGTTTAATAGCGAAGAAAGAATATCAATATTATTGCTAATTAATAGTTAATTAGAATATTAATAGTTATTGCTAATTTTTTATAATTATCGAAGAAAGGAAGACGTTTCCGCTCGATTCCTATTCGTTACAATGAACGTACATTTTGACTTTGCATAATTGGAATTATGCATAACTAAAATAATTCTTAGATAAATATTCGATCGTTAATATGTTCAAAACAATTACGTTCTTGTTTGTATCGTACGTTATTAATAGATAAATACTGTATTGATATAAAAGAGATGCAGTGATAATAGTATTTACTATATTATTATATTATTTGTATTATACATTTATATTTACGTTTATATTATTATTATTACTATTATTATTACACTCGACCGATGCGCCACCGTGAACGCATAAAATCCGCGTTGCAGCGGTAATTAATGGTAAATAATAACGTTGTTCGAAGGTTTCCGTCGGCATTCGTTCCGCATTTTTGCTTGTTAAAAGGGAACGAAGGCATGTCGTCGAAAAATGTTCGATGTATATTTTTTCCAAGTCGAATCTCGCCACTCGAGGGAATCAATTTCCCCTCGCGTTCCCGGCGAGCAGACGTCAAAGGGGAATTTCGATGAGTCGAATTGACAGTTTTACGATCCCCCTCGAAAGCTTCCTATATTTCGTTCGTCTCCATTGGAGATCAGAAAAAGCTTTTCTTCGTCATCGTGGATACTTGTCAAAGATCGGGACGCTTTCTCTCGTCAATTTAATTCGAGCGTGGATCGCGAGGAACGAGCGTTGCGTACACCACCACCGTTCGTTGCATATTCGGGCACACGCGTTCGGTGCACTTTCGCGTGGATATTCGCCCGTCAAATCGGATCGAACCAATTTCATAAAATTATGCAAATTATCCTATCGACGAGTTGCATTCTGAACGACACGAAACTACTTTACAAGCCGAGTCGACGCTGTCGATTTGTATCGCACAACTACGAAACTATCTTCGTGATTGTTTATGCAATTTATGGTTGTGACTCTTTTTCTATTAATTTTAACCGTTCTAGAAGTAATGTTAAATTTGTATACTTACGACATTTAATTAGATATTTTATCTTAGAATAAATCGAAGATCTCAGGATATTTTATGATATAATAATAAGTATGAATGTTCGTGGTCATTCTATTTTATAATAAATTGAAGATTTATCGATACTTTATTGTACGATAGAATGAAGATCCAAGGACGATAGTTTATTTTAGAATAAATTGAAAACCTAAGGATATTTTACGTGTCGCAACAAATGAAAGATTTGCAGATAATTTAATATCGAATAAATGGAAAATCTAAGGATATTTTATTTCAGAATGAACTAATAATCCTGAGGTATTTTATTTCGAAACGAACCACCGAACGGTCCAAGGATATTTCACGTCTGTTACGAAACAGGCGCAACAGTTCCGATCGTGTCGTCCTGTTTGAAAAATTGACGAATTATCTGTACTCACGGTGTCTGCTTTTAGAGGAGTCCACGCGAAGCGTTCCCTCGCTTTGTATTTGATCTTTGCCGTTTGTGACGCGGCAAGTGTAAAACCCTACGTCAGACACGTCCAGATTGATGATCTTCAGTCGACTGCCGGCGATGTTCTTTGCGGCGTGCTCGTGTGCCTGAACATTGGAAAATGTTGAAGCAGTCAAGCCGGATAGTTAAACTTTGACAGTCGAACTTAACAATTAAAAGTGATAATTAAACATAATAGGCGAACCAAATAGTTAAACCCGATAGTTGAAACAAATTGTAAAACTAAATGGTCGAACGCGATT